CTAACTCATCTATAATTATTATTAAAATTCAAAGGGATAATATGATCAAATTGACAAAATATAATTAAATTTTAAAATAACTATAATTAAAATACAAGAAATGACTCATGACATCGTTCGGGCCAAAAACTAGTTCAAAATCAATTACTAATTATCGTATTCTATTTACTTTGTATTAATTTATTGCCCTGTTTTAATTTCCTATGTTTTGGCACAAATGATTATTTAGATTTGCTTTCCTTTTATTTTTCCAGTTAACTTTACTTTGTATCTGAAACACATAATCCAAACCCAAACTATTAAAGCAACTTAACAAAAGTTAGACTCAAACCAAAATGAGCTCAATTGATAGGCTTTTTTTTTTTTTTTTTGAGTCAATTCAATTGGTAGGCTAATATTTATTGTTTTTTTTTTTTGGTTTTTTCTACATAGTAACCTCGTTTTTTCACCTTTCTACGCTGTGCCCTAACATATATGACTTTTTACGCTATAACCCTAAAACACAAAAAGTGACTATATTGTGCCCTCGCCGTTAACTTGCCGTTAGTGCTTCTGTTAAAACCCAAAAATTAAACTTTTTTTTTTTCATTTCCCCTTCCTCTTTCCCTTCTTCCCTCCATAACCACCAGAGCGGCCCAGACTCGGTCGAGTCGTCGCCGCCGTCGCCGACTACTCTTTTTCTCTCTCCTCCAAACTCCACCAAACCATGGCAGCAGCCCCTGCTCCCTCTTCTCACAACCTACAAATCGCAACCCCCGCAGCCACCACAATCAATCACCTTCTCCCCTCAACCCAAGCACACACCAGCTCGCATCACACCACTACAACAGCAGCTCACCCACCGTCGCCGACACTCCCTGTTACCCCGACCTCCCCTTACCCGTCGCGCCACTCATCCAAACGAAACCCTAACCCGCGAAAACCGACCACCGCAGCCCCGAAACCACCCCTTCCCCTGTTTTTCGGCCACGATAAAACCTATTCCTTCACTAAAACCACCAAAAATCCATTTAACCCAAAAAACCCGAAATCTTAGGAAACGGATTTTCTGGGTTAAACCCGAAACCTAAAAAGGGGCTGCAGTGGTGGCGTTAATTACTGCTTGGTGGTGCGTGTAGGAGCAGCGAAAGGAGCAGGATGTGTGGTGCTGGCTGCTGACCTGCTGCGGTGGTGCGTCTAGGGGCAACGAAGGGAGATGCGGGGGTGGTCGGTGCTGCTCTTGTTGCTTAGGCGGTGATGCCAGGGGAGTGAAGAACACAGGGGAGGGGGAGAGGTGGTGGTGGCAGGGTGGTGGGTGGATTTTTAAAGCTCAAAAAAAATGTGGGGATGGGGTCGCTTGAAAAGGAAGGGGAGGGGCGGCTGACAGAGGGGGTGGCAGTGGGGTGGTGGAAGGTGGCTGGATGGTGGTTGGGCCCCACTAACGGAAATAGTAACAGTTAACGGAAGCACTAACGGCAAGGGCACAATATAGTCACTTTTCGTGTTTTAAAGTACAACGTAGAAAGTCATATTATGTTAGGGCACAACGTAAAAAAGTGAAAAAAACGAGGTTACTACCTAGAAAAACCTTTTTTTTTTTTTAATTATAATGAAACTTTATATCAAAAACGAAATGATGAGTCACTCAATCATGATCTAAACCAAATGATTTCGAACCAAACATGATTCAAGCCACCCACTTACCATCTTTCAGTGGATAAACTTAAGAACCCGACCCGAAACAAATTATCAGCCTAATTTACTAGAGACAGCTAAAAGGAGCAAAGATGGAAAACAAACAAAGCATCAACACTATAGCACCATAAAAGCCACTCAGAAAAAAACAGGATCAAATTACACAGAGCATAAGTCTAATCTCAAGAAACCCCAAATAAACAAAAACTAAAAAATTTACAGCCCCCAATATTTTTCTCAGAGAATCTCTGCATCTCAGTTCATCTCTTTCCTCTCATTCATTCATTCATATTCTCTCTCTAAATACCCAGAAAACCTCTTCATCTGGGTTTTTTCTCTTTCCTTCAAAAACCCCAAAAAAGTTAAAAAAAAAAACCCAAATAAACTAGAAAAAATGGAGATCCAGAACTGTTGATGAAGTTCAAATTCCATTTAATTGCTGGGATTTTATTATCTGGTTCAATTGTTACTATAATAAGTGTTGCTCCTAGATTTGTTGATCTTTTGGCTTATTTTTGGCCACTTTTAGCTTCAACGGCTCTATTTTTGGCGGTGGTTGTTGTGTTCAGCCGTGTATCGCCGCCGTCTGCCGACGGTCCCGGCGAGAAAGCCGCCGAGGGTCTCTTGGATTACGTCGCCGGACAACCGGAAGCATTTGTTGATACTTCAACCTTGAATGAGTGAGCAACAATGACAAAATATAATGTAAAACTTTTTTATTTTTTTTATTTTTACTTCGTAATTTTAATTTGTAGAGTAATAATTAATTCCTACTCCCCATATTTTCTCTCTCTCTCTTTTTTTTCCTTTTAATTTCATTTCCTCTTATCTTTTAGTTTTCTTTGTGATTTGTTAGAGTTTTTATAAAGATGAAATGTAAATTTTTAGGGGAGAATAAAAATTGAAATAAAATTAATAATAATGTTAATGTTTCCCTTTTTTTTTGGGATTTTAATGGGGGTATTGGAAATAACTCTAAAGAAAAATGGAGATCCCATCTCTTTGTTAGATTTTACATGTGTGAAATGTTTTGATTGGAAAATTGACAAGTAATACTCGCTTTGCCTCGAAATCAATAGTCAATTAAGTCGCGTTGATAGTGTAATTTGAAGTATTGAACGAGCTAAGTAGCATGACAACTAAATCTCGAAAGAAATAAGATCTTTTATGCACATTGACATTTTATGATGTATGTACTTTAGCATTATAAAGTTCAAGATATTAATGGGAAATAAATGGTTAATCAGAGTAGTATGAATTTGTTGGTTTGTTTGGCAAGCTTTCACTTTCACCGCGGTGCCCAGTGCGCATCGCAGAAAATAGAAATAGAAGCAAAAATGGTAAAAATGGCATATAAATGGTCTTAATTTAGGTAACATAATTACTTTGCTAGATTAATAAGCATTGTAATATTTGTATATGCACTAGCAGTCGTTCAAAGTTGATAATGCACAAATTTGTAGTTTTGGACAAGCAAGGTTAGCAGTAGGATCGTGATTAGTTGGCTAATATAGTCCTCAGACATATTGTTGATCATATTTTAAGCATTTATCTACCTCCATAACCTATGCTTAACTCGATGAAATACGATGGGAATTCTTAGTACAATGCTTGATGAGTAATGATGGATTATTCATAATAGAGGGATTTGATAAATAGGTGACATGGTTGGTTTGTTAGCTATAAAAGAATCTACCACCAATTTGGCTATAGTTATAGCTAGATTTAATCGCAGTATCGCACTATAAACCATTAGTTAAGAAATTGTACATATGTAATCGATTGATAGTCGTAGAATTCAATTATAGATTTCCTAACTTGAGCAAGATGGAATCAAAGTACTCAGTATTCACCACTTCAAACCACCAAATTAAAAGTTTGTAAAATGCATGCAAACTTGCATATGTCATCAAAGTATATCCTACCTCTTTGCATGATCGCAAACTTGCATAAATAGATCTCTCCCGACAAAGATATTTAACTTGTATTTTCTCTTTTTGAAGCCACCCCTTGTTTAGTTGTGATATAAATTTGAAAAAAAAAGTTTGTCCTAACTTTTATGAGACTCTAATTAATTATGAGATACCCCTTGTTTAATTGCGATATTTTTAAATTAAAGCCACCCCTTGTTGTAATGATTTGGCCCATCCCTAGTAGAGGTGTTAATTCGGGTACTTGGGTTGAGTTCGATGCGTTCAGGTCGGGTCACATTTATTTTAAGATTGAGTCATGCTAAATTATTGAGTCCATTTAAATCGAAATCCATCTGAATCGGGATTTTTCAAGTCAGAACAAATTGGGTCGATCGAGTTAGTTTTTAACATCTCGACTCTACTCATGTCGGGTTGGTAGTTTCAACATTAATGTAGTTTAAACTTCTATGCGTAGTACTCCGTATTTGTCTTTTGACCTACTCCACCTTTTCTTATGTATGTAACGGTGTAGTGTGTAGTTTGAAACAAATGGTTTAGTATAATGTAGTATAGTTTGAAAAATATCTAGAAAAGTTTAAAATCACAGGGCCTTATTTAGGGCCTAATTTATTTCGCTGAATCAAATAGTCCATAGTGAGTGATTATTTCCTTCTTAAATAAAATAAATAAAAGGTTGTATGTGCTGGTGTAGTAATCAGTGCCTTAGGGGCTGTTCCGATTTACAGAAAACAACTGAAATGAACTAAACTGAACTGAACTGATTGAGGCTGAACTGAACTGATTGGAGCTGAACTGAACTGAGATATTTGACTATGGAATAATGATTTTAACTGTGGATTAGTAATGATATTAATTCACTAATAATAATAATAACTCTTCGACCTACAAATGTGTTGCTTTATTCTTGGGATAGAGGGCTTGGTATCTGGGTTGTCTGACTGTTCTTGGTCGTGTTGTGTCGGCTGCGGCTCAGCGGAAGCGGGACAAGTATGGGGCGTGTTGCAGGACTATTGGCTATGATATCCTTCCATTCTTCTTTTTATCACTGGGAGAATTAGATAAGGATGTTGTTGCGTTGCTAAAGCGGGTTAAGGTGTTTGCTAGGACTCAGGATATTGGTGCCCGTGCAGCTGCTCACATCTTCAGCAGGATCAGGTTCACTATAGCTAGAGGGGTGGGGGTCCAGATTGTATCTCGGCTCTCCACTAATATCTTGTAAATTGATTGATTTTGTAGGTTTCTGTTATTTTTCTATAATAATAATAATAATAATAATTACAATAATAATAGTAAAAATTACAATAATAATAATAATAATAATAATAATAATAATAATAATAATTACAATAATAATAAAAATAATAAAAATAATAATAATAATAATCATAATAATCATAATATTACATACTCGGGGATTTCTCCTTCAAATGCATTGTTTGATAGATCAAAAAAAGAGAGCGTTTCAATGATCTTCTCATATGGTAATTGCACACCTTTGAATGTCAACATAATAGAATAGTAAGGCCACAACATTGGTACATTTGATTCCATGTATTGTGGAAAACCATGGTGATCGATAATCCTCGTCATTGCTTGAAATTTATTTATGTATGTTGTGGGTATCTTACCGCTGAAGTTGTTACTAGAGAGATCAAGAATCTGTAACGCGGGATATGGATGAAATCCACTGACATTATTGATGTGACCGTGGAAGCTGTTACAACTCAAGTCAAGGAGTCGAATAAATGGAAGAGTATGCAACCAATAAGGAAATTCATCCTTAAGCTCGTTACTTCTAAGATTGATAGCTTGTAAATTTGTGCATCGTGCCAAAGATCGAGGTAACTGCCCTTGCAACCTATTACTGCTTATGTCTAGGTATCGCAAGTTATCACACTTGGAAAAGTTTGTAGGAAGAGTTCCATGAATGTTATTCGATCCTAAATTCAACAAATTAAGGCCACTGTTTAAGCTTCCTAGACAATGTGGGAAATCTCCACTCAAACTATTGTTAGATAAGTCAAGAACCCAAAGTGATGTTAAGTTGCAAATGGATGAATCAATTGGACCTGTAAAATTGTTGTTTGCGGCTAAAAAGAATTGGGTGTAAGGTGATGAGATTATTGGGAGACGTCCTGTAAGCTTATTATTAGAGATTTCAATATAATTCAAAGTACCCCAAGGCAGGTTTTCAAGAACTCCGGTTAAAGAGTTGGATGAAAGATCCAATAAGTTTATCGACGATTCTCTGATTAGTTGTTGTAACCACTTGGGGAATTCACCATGAATACTAGTGTTGGATAATCCTAAATATTGCAATGAATTAGCTAAAGTGGAGATAACGGATGAGTTTACTGGACCGTCAGTTATGGTCACGGAAAGGCCGCTATTAGACAGGAAAAGAGACCGGAGCTTTGGAAGGCTAGAAAAAACGTGATAAAGGCTAACACTACCCCTAAAGTTATTGAATGAGAGGTTAATCGTGTCCAATGACTTTAAGCTAAACAACCAAGCCGGAACTTCTCCAACAAGCATATTTTTTCCTAAGTATAGAGTAGTTAAACTTGAGAGCTTGCTTATGTTCATTGTGGACGGAAGACTTCCGGTTAGTTCATTATGACTAAGGTCTATTCTTTCAGAAATATTCCACACCCAACTTGGAAAAGTCCCCCGTAGATTGGTACTCTGCAAATATAATGATTTCAAATGTGTTAATCGACTATAAAAAGAGGGTATGTTAGAAGAAATATTGGAATAGCTAAGGATTAAGGATTCCAAGGGGCTACTCCAATTATACATTGATGGGAAATGAAAGTTTATCGCATCATTGTACCCGAGATTGAGTTCCTTTAGGTGTGGTAGGTTAAGAATGCTAGTAGAGAACTCCCCTTGTAAATAGCATCCTTCAAGATTAAGATATGAAAGTGAAGACAAGTTAGTAGTGGTTTGAAAGATTTGTGATGTCTCTAGTTTTATTCCACTTAGACCTAGTCGTTTCAGCTTTGTAAGGTTTCCAATGACCAACTTGACATTTGAAAATTGAAGATCATTTCCTGATAAATCAAGAGATGTCAGTCTAGTGAGTTGAGATATTTCAAGAGGGACCCTACCAGAAAAATAAGAATAAGAAAGGTCTAAATGTTTAAGAAAATGAAACTGACCAAATTTGTGGGAAATATTGGATGAAGAAAAATCATTCCATGACAAATTAAGCCTCTGAAGTTGGCCTAGTTGGAAGAGATTGCTATTTGAATTGATGGTTCCGACGATACCGTTGTTGTAAAGGTCAAGTGCAATGACATGATGAGTGAGAGGATGGCAAGTAATTCCATCCCATTCACAACAATCAGAACCTCGTTTCCATGATCTTGTATTATTTGTATTTATAGCGTAGTAGGTATTAGCTCGTGTAAAAAAGCTGAAGGATTCTTTTAAGTGAAGCAATGCATAATACTCATCTTCATGACATAGGTTCGAAGAAGATGTATTACGGAGAGAAGGTGGTGAGCAAGTGATAAATACAAGATTGTAAGCGAGGCATAGACAAAGTAACGAAAAACATAATATGATGGAAGGGCTAAACATGGCTTTAATTTGGTCAAGTTTACAAGTGTTTGAGTAATAACTAAAGTTGAGCACTTGTAGTTTGTTGTACTTGTACACACCAAATTTATACAGAAATTCAAGATGATAGAGCAGAGAAATGCTTGTTTAGCTGACTTTATTTCATCCGTTGGGCCGAGCCATTTGTTGATGATTGAAAAGTACGTCTAGGAAAAATTTTCCTACTTTTCCTTCATAGTTCCTAATTAGCCAGCAAAATATCTAGGTACCCGTCAAAATGTTCTTTCTTTTCTTTTCTTTTTTTTTTTTATTTTTTTATTTTAATATTCGTTACATTTTCAACTTTTCACACTTGATGTTGTAAAATCTTGACTATAGTATCTCTAATTATGTGTTGTATTTTTGCCTCAAAAAAATTACTCCGTATGTGTTAGTATTTTGTTAAATTAATAAAAATATATGTGATAGTAAAAATTATAAAAAGTATGTTAATATTCCGAAGATACATATTAAGATAAAGTTGCTATATATAAAAATATGTCTTTCCTTAATTATAAATTACGAAAACAATAGTTAAAGTAGAATATATATACTTACCTCCGTTTATTTTTAGTTGACACGTATTCTTTTTTAGAAAGTTTATTTTTAGTTGACACGTTTACTTTTTGGATAGTAAGTTTTATACCTTGCACTTACTAGTGTACCCCACTTGCTTTATCATTCTATCTCATTTTCTCTCATCTTCTTAATATATATGCCTAAATTGAATGTATCAAGTACATAAAAACGGAGGAACTTGTAAACTGTTCACGGATCATAAAAGACAACCACGATTAAGGGACCACGAAAGGCAACAACGATTGACCCGTGAAGGTTACACCTCATTCATAATCCATGAGGTTACTAATAACTCCATATGGTTCAAAACCACGAAAGGAGGATCGGGGATGATGGTACGACATGAGTCATGTAGTCACATTCGCCCGTAATTGGCCTCTACTCAATTCTTATAGTGAAAAATATTTCTTGCGATCTCGAAGGCATGCAAATAAAGATTCAATTTACTTCAAACTATAATAATGCCAAATTGGTTGAATGTTAATGCAACATATAATTCTAAAATATTTGTGATCACTTGATTATACAACAAGATTTAAAAAGATCCTAAATCGGTCGTCCAAATTATCTTATTAGTCGTGATTTTCAATTACATATTCCCCTTAAACATGCAATATAGTGATCAACAACAAACAATAGAATAAACATCAACAATGGAAGCAATTTAACAACAATATCGTTAGTCAAATCAAATTATAATAATAACTCTAATCATGATACTAGCAACAAAGAATAACAATAAGAGTATTTAAGTGATTGATTACTCACTTTCCGTGTTTCCTTGAATTGCTACATCATGAATAAACTGTTAGTAACTTCATAAATAATAAATCAAATTGAAATTAAACAAAATAAAACGAGAGTTGATTTGGTCCAAACCCTTAGTTAATTCTATCTTTCACGCCTTGGTTTAGTTATAGAATTTCGGGTCAAGTATGGACTCCTTGGTGTGTTTAAGGAAGGAGTGATGTAATTAGGTATATAGGTTTAAGGCTTAGAATAAGAGAGAGAAGAGAGAATGATTTTTTTGGTGTACAAAAGAGGAAGAGAGAAAATTTTTTGGTGCTCCGAAACTGAGGAAATCAGCCTCGTATTTGTAGAGAAAATGTGAGGGGTGAAGCACGGAACCCTAGAAAAATGTCGTGTCACGGCGCGAAATACCGTGACGCAGTGTGTATGCCGTGACACGGTGCACATGTTTTCCTGAAAACAGTCCAGATTCATTTTATTCTTTGCTTGATGACTAAGAAAGTGATATTTTATGCGCCATTTCAGCTATTTATGATGCGTATTTACGCAGCTATTTTGAGTTTCTTGAATAAGAGAAACAATCTTTAAACCTTTCTTGGATTTAATTAAGTTTATTATAACAATTATGGTTGAATGTATTCGTTTTTCTTGTGGAAAAACGAGCTAGAGAATTTTTGTAACACAATGATAGAACTCCCAAGGCTCGGTTGAGAGGCGCTACTTGAAGGCTCGGTTCAAGAATCGAAGTTTAGCACAACGACAAGGTTTAACAAACCATAAACACAAGCTAAACTCACGTTTTTCATATGATAATCAAAACTCAAATATGATTTTTATTAATTCTTAACCACGTGTTTATAACCTAAATAATTAGCCTAAAATTGTGTAGAACAAAATCTAATCTAACTAGGAAATTTATCCTAACTTGCAAATATAACCTTTAAACTTAAGCTATCTTCTACTTACCGAATTAAACTAACAAAAATATCCTAATAAATTCGATCACCTAATAATAAAATTAAAAATAACATAAAAATAATTAGAATAACAATATTAATACCTTGGAACCACATTATACTCGCCCTCTTGAAATAACAATAGGTGTATCAATGTATGAATATCTTGTAATAGCTTGCAGTGCTTTTGTCTGGTGATTATCAATCTAGTTGTTGTAGTTTCTTAAAGGCACAGACAAAACTTAGAAAATTAATAAAGTATGGTATAAGTTAGATATACTAGTATGCAAGTTCAACATATGGTTTTTCATAAGCACAAAGCTATTATGATGCATGTACCTAATTTATGATATACATACGCGCGGAGTAATAATCAGCACCATGAAACCATGTTCAGTGAATGAATGATGGCTTTTATTTGCCAATTAAGCCTTTTATTAGAATTCATATATGTTAGGATTTTATATATATTGTTTATTATTTAAATTAAATATAAATAAAGATGATTTGGATATTTTAAAGGGCATCAATGCATCATTACCTCCCCTTCACTTATTTAATAAAGATAAAGAGTAGAAATTTGAGAGAAAATAAAGAATAGAGAAAAAGTAATTAGCAGTAAATCGCAATTAGTTAAAGAACATCATCATGCATAATTTAATTAATTCCTATGTAAGTCATTGTCTTCTTTAGTTGACCTAAAGTCATCATCTGGACTTTGGGTCAACTCTCAACAAAGTAAATGACCTACAAAGTAATTTTTCCAACACGTTTATTTGGTAATCTGATTATTTGGAATATATAGCTAGTTCATTGTATTATTTTTTCAACACGTTCATTTACCAAGACTTTTAAAAATTTGATTTGATAAATATATATTTGGTATATTTATTAAAAAGCTTATGGTCTATATTCAATAATAAGTACATAAAGCAATCACTAAGCTTATGCTAGAAAGTCTATCGTATCTAGACCCCGTTCAATACGTTAGTTGACGATGACTTTTATAAAAAAACGTGACTTTAATTATGTCCTCCCTCCGTTTATTTTCTGTTGTTACGTTTTCTTTTTGTGGGTTTTTTATTAATAAATTTTTTTTATCTAAACTATGTTGTTAAATAGGTATTAATTTAAAATTTTAAAATATTATTTTTTTTATGTGTTAACTATAAATTATATATATTTTAAGAATAAATTATAGCTAGCATTGGCATCATGTAGTGATGTAGACATTTCGGAATCTCTCCTTAAATGTTGTTTGATGAGTCTTATTAGCGAACCACATCAAATATTCAAGGGCACCCAAAGATGGGAATTCATTCATTAACTTATAATAATAACTATATACTAAAAGACACATAAGCAACGATACGTGTCATCTTTTGGTGTGTCTTTAGTTTGTTTTTTTCCCCTTTGCTGAATAAAATAATTTAAGAAAAGATCTTCTACAAAATTTTGTACTCAGTATTTTTATCTTTGACAGTAATATGTTTAGCTATTTTTTTATTTATTAAAAATAATTGTAATTATAATTTAATAGTAATAGTTAATGAAAAAAATCGTGCGTGACACGAAAAACTAACCTAGCTAAACATAATATTTCAAGCTAAGTTTCGGCAAGATTAATGAGGAGTTAAGTGTATAGTTGCTAGTAGATATCACTGATAGGATTTTATATCGTTGATTATTTAAAATTAAATACTACGCATAAATAAAGAGGATTTGGATATTTTAGGGTGCACTACCATTATTATCTCTCATTCACTTATATGATAAAGATAAAGAGTAGAAATTTGAGAGAGAAAAGAGGCCACTTAAGTGATGATAGAGACTAGAAAAAAAAAATCAGTAGTAGATTGAAATCAACTAAAGAACATCACTCATCCATGCATATTTAATTAATTCCTATTTAAGTCATCGTCTTATTTAGTTGATCTTAAAGTCATCATCTGAACTCTGGGTCAATCCTCAATAATGTAGAAGGCCTAATATTTTTCTACACGTTCATCTGGTCATTTGGAACAGCGTAGCTCATTGTACATTTTCTTCTAACATGTCATTTATCAAGACTTTTAAAAACTTTATTTCATAAATATATATTTGCTTTTTTTATTTTAATCCACTTCACTTGATTTTATTTTTGACTTACCCCTTCTCCACGTACACATTTCTAAACGTAAAATACATAAACACATAAATAATCTTGGTTATATCCTGAAATATATACATACAACCTCTTGTAAGGTGAAGATCCTCCTAAGGACAAATAATTAGCTACAAGATCAATGTTACAATGAAAGTTAAGCTCTAGCCTTACGCTGTTATTCTTGTTAACTTGGAAATTATACAAGTTTTAGGGATAATATTAACTAACCTCACAATTTTGTATTATTTACGATTTTATCAAATATCGATCTTTACAGCTAAAAATATTAGAAGGATCTTGCTACGTACGAATGTCTTGAGAGTTGTCACTCACGTTAAATAGTGATTTACTATGTAACATATTTGCTGGATTAGTATTTCCTATTAATTTTGAATGCATGTTGAAATGCATGTCCTGTAAGGCTGTAATTGAGCTCTCCCAAGGAAGATGTCCTAAACCTCCGGAAAGCGAGTTAACAAATTATAGTTATGGAATTAGAGGAATATGTACTATTTAAAGAGAGGAACAAGGTTAACAAATTAAGTGTACAAGAGACAATGGACATCACTCATATTTTAATTGATTATTCAAACTTTTAAAGTCATTCACTACTTTTGTAGACTCTCAAGTCATCGTTAAAGCTATTTGTGTGGCTGATAATAGAACATTTGAGCAACATTAGTACGAGTAGGAATCTTGATAATAAAGCTTATGGTCGATATTCAATAAGTACAGTAATCACTTAGCTAGTTAGCTTATGCTAGACTGTTTAGACCCCGGCCTGTTCAATACGTTAGTTGACGAAGACTTATGTGGAAACTTTGACTTGTGTACTTATTTGTTTATTTTCTATTGATACATTTTCATTGGCTTAAAATTAATTATATCTTATGTGACGATTTAAAATTTTTAATCTAATTATTCCAATTTATCAAAATCTACTTCAAAATATTTTTTATTTCAAATACCAAAATACTTCATCCGATTTTAAATACTTGATCCACTTTCCTTTTCTGACCGTTTTTAAATACGTGCTCTATTTAGTTATTTGAAAAATTTATGCAGTTTTTAATTCTTTTCTCTCATCTAGTGGACCAACATAAATCATATTTTAATAATTTCATATTCTTTCTTCTCCAATTCTTTCAACTACTTTAATTTGCTATTTATAATTTTTTATTCTTCCCCTTCCCCACTACCTCTATATTTTATTACTTTCTCCAATTGTTCCTATTTTTTTCCCATATTTTTTTTCTTTCTTTAATTTGAAAGCCACATGAGCAAAGGATGTAGATGGAATTTAATATCATGTTTTGAGTATCACCCTGACTTTAACCCACCAAACTAATTGGTCATCCACATATCTCATCCCAAATTAATACAAAATGATGTAATATTACGAAGTATTTACCAATGAGGTATTGATCTAATAATTAAAATTGGACAACTGTATACGATACATCACATGTTCAAATCTCACACCACCCCTATTAGTAAAGTGTAATTTGTATTATTGCTTGTGTCTTGTACACTTAATTTGTTAACCTTGTTCCTCTCTTTAAATAGTACATATTCCTCTAATTCCATAACTATAACCCACACTTACTTCAGTCTAAAAACCACCAAGTTTCTACAAATAGCCATGCAATACCTGTTAGGAATTGTTGTCACTCTACTCTGCCTGGTAGTCACTTCTTGTCATCCCACTTGTCGTAGCGATGAGAGTTCTGCCTTGCTTCGCTTCTCAAATTCCTTGTCAATTGATCCATCCGCCTCTGGTTGCACATCCAGAAGAGCAAAAACAATGTCATGGAATAATAGCATCGACTGTTGTCAATGGGACGGGATCACTTGCGATCCATTAACCAGTCATGTTATTGGTCTTGACCTTGGCTGCTCCCAACTTAGTGGAAGTCTCGACTCAAATAGCACCCTCTTCCAACTTCATCATCTCGAAAGCCTTTCATTAAACGACAATGATTTTAACGGCTCTTCCATTCCTCCTAAATTTGGAGATTTCTCACACTTATCCTTGCTTAACCTCTATGAATCAAATTTCCAGGGCAGGGTGCCTCACGAGATATCCAAACTCCGAAAACTCGAATTACTTGACCTTTCTGGAAATTATCTTGAAATGCCAGGTGTCAATAGTATCATTGAAAACTTAACATCCTTGTCATATCTTGATCTTGGTCGTGTCCCAATCAATTCAAATTTTCCTGCATCTCTGGTAAACTTATCTTCCTTAACGTATTTAGACCTATCATTCTGTGGTTTGCAGGGGAAATTTTCTTCTGACATTCTTGATTTACCATACTTGCAAACACTTTCTTTAGCGTATAATAGCGACCTCGTCACAAAGTTAGGTAGTTGGAGCAGCCCTTTGATACACCTAGGACTTCGTTCTACAAAATTCTCCGGGCAACTACCATACTCCATAAACCAAACTAGCCCGAGCTACTTAGATCTATCGTATAGCGGTGTTCATGGTCCTATACCACCATGGGTTTGGAATGTCACTAACGAAATCATTCTTTCAAATAATTTTCTTACTGCTGGTCTGCCTTCATCGCTAAACATTCATACGCTCTCTAATCTTTCCAGCCTCTACCTTAACAACAACATGCTTACCGGAACCATACCATCTTGGCCGTTCCAACTCCCTTCATTAATTACCTTGAACCTCCATTCCAACCAGTTTAGTGGTTCATTGAGACATGTTTCTGGTAATAATGGTAGCAATTCCTTGCAGATACTTGATTTGTCGGACAACAGCTTTACCGGTGATGTTGAGCTTAGTATGTTTTCTATGTTTACAGATCTTGATGCTCTTGATTTATCTTTAAATAGTTTATCAGTGTCTACTAAACTCAACTCCTCCTCGATGCTGTCCAAATTATCATATTTGGGACTCTCTTCTTGCAATATTAGTAAGTTTCCTTACTTGGGAGACCAAGAAAGACTCGAAGACTTGCATCTTGAAGATAACAACATCCGAGGTGAGATTCCCAAATGGATGGTTAACATTAGCCAGGCTCAACCTGATGCATCTTTATACTTAGACCTTTCTAATAATTCTCTAACACATGGTCTAGAGTATCTCCCTTGGGAGAAATTGAGTTATGTCTACCTTTCATCCAACAAGTTACAAGAGCCTCTTCCGATTTTGCAAACAAATCTAGAGCTTGCGGCATTATTTGTGTCAAATAACAGACTAAATGGCACCATTAATCCATCCTTTTGTCATTTGACTAAAATCCGCTGCCTTGATTTATCGAACAACACTCTTAGCGGAGAAATCCCTCATTGTTTGGTAAATAATAGCACTCAGCTCGCTGCATTAAATCTTCAAGCGAACAGACTAAATGGCACCATACCTGCAAATTTCTCTAACTGTGATTCATTACAGTATCTAGATTTAAGTGACAATCAATTGGAAGGGGTGGTGCCAAATTCTCTGTCACAGTGTAAAAGCCTAAACGTACTGTATCTCGGGAATAACAAGTTAGAGGGTACGTTGCCATCATGGCTAGACAGCCTCCCGCAGCTGCAAGTTCTCAGTCTACGTTACAATAACTTCCACGGACCTCTAATTACTTCGACAAAGCATGATCATCTATTTCCAGAGCTGCAAATTCTCGACCTCTCAAATAACAACTTTTCTGGAAAATTACCAGCAAAATACATACAAAATTTCAGAGCCATGATGAAGATGAACGAGTCAAGTCCTGTTAGTCCACAGTACATGGGATACGGGTACTTGTACTCATATTCCATCACGTTAACATTTAATGGGAATATGCAGAAATATGAAAAGATCATCACCACAATGGCGACTTTTGATATGTCGAAAAAACAGATTTGAGGGAGAGATTCCAGATTCCTTAGGGCACTTGGTGTCATTGCGAGGGCTTAATCTTTCAAATAACCGCCTTACTGGGCACATCCCTCCGTCCATCGGGATGTTGTCCTTGCTGGACTGCTTGGACCTTTCGTCCAACATGCTCACTGGTCGTATCCCACAAGAACTTGTTAGTTTGACATTTCTTGGGGTCTTCGATGTTTCGCAAAACCTACTGGAGGGGCCTATACCTCAAGGGAAGAACATTGGTACGTTCTCAGCTGATTCATACAAGAAGAATCCAGGATTGTGTGGACAACCATTGCCCAAGTGTGGAGGAAGTGATCCGCCGTTCGTGAACAACACCGGAGATGACCAGAATGACTCTAGTGATTATTGGAGCATACTGCCAGAGTGGGAAATCGTACTGATGGGCTTTAGCAGTGGCGTAGTAGTTGGCTTGGCTTGGGGATATTATATGTTGTCAGTGGGAAAACCCTTTTGGTTTATCAAATTAACTCACAAAATGGAATTGGCTTTGCTTGAATTTCGGGACAAGCAATTTGGTAGAGCAGGAAGAAGAGCGAGAGCAAGAGCAAGAACTGGAAGGAACTAAAATTCCAAGTGAAATGTATGACTTTCCTCCCTCCAGTTGCTGAAATTTCTTCAAGCAGCAAACATCTAAGAAAATCAAGTATGTATACATTATATTTACGCAAGTTCAGATGGAATGTATTATCATGTATAATAATTTAATTTTTACAACATTCTAGTTTATTCAGTGTATTATGACATTCCAGACTACTGTATGATCAGTATCTGAAAGTTTGCATCAAAGAATTTTTTACAAGCCTTTATCATTTCAATTATCAGTTCAGGCTTGAATTAAATTTTGTGCACAATGTTTCAGAAATACAAGAGTTCAATAAACTAAAAAAAGGAGTAGCCTTTGAATTAAATTACTGAATCAACTAGAATCCTGTTGCATGGTGTCTCGAGCACCTTCAGTTCGGATGCTGTTGTTAAGCTAATCTTCTGGTTGTATAAGACTTGTCTTCCAGGGGCTGCTCGTCCTGTTCATGATTGATTACATCATAAATAAATCACTAGTTGTCTAGTTGCAAGGATGCAGAGACTTAATTACAGTAAAGCATATAACTTTGTTTTATACATCAGTAGAGTAAACTTAATTAGCACTACCTGGAATTTACAGTCACATATATATTTTAGAAATAAATTTTGTAATGGTATGAATAAGTGGTGCGTAGTAAGAACCGTGAATAGTTGTCAGCAAGCAATTGGCTATTTCCGCGTAAATATTGAACAAATAAGAATAGCTGGATAATATAGAAATTTAATTGAAGACAAAATTCTATGACGTGTTGAATAACATATCCTCAGAAATTTTTAAAAAACAGCTTACTACTATTTGAATTTAGTATAGAAATCGAAATATTATGATGTGTAGAAATACATGTCCTAAGAAAATTAAGATAATAATAGCTAACTACTCTTTGACTTTATAAATAAAAAATTGCAATTTAAGCTGAGACTCCATTGCATTTGCTATTATTCCCTAACAAAATTTACCAAACCCGAAGCCGTGTTTCCTATACTTAAATGGTGTCTCTGCATAATATTATGTTTTTATTTGAATGCTAGAGTTGCGTATTCATCATCTTACCATAGATCTTTATCATCCGAGCAGTGTCATGATGAAGAAAGAGTTGCACTGCTTGGCTTTAAAACATCCTTCACCCTCGAGTCTGAATTCAATAACTGTCCAAATGCCAAATCAAAGACATCATCATGGAATAAAGATGGCAACTGTTGTGAATGGGAAGGTGTCGTATGCCATCCACAAACACACCATGTAGTCGGGCTTGATCTTAGTTGCAGCAAACTTAGTGGAAGCATTGGCTCTAATTGTAGCCTCTTCCTCCTCAATCATCTCAAAAGCCTTGATCTAGCCTTTAATGATTTCAACGAGTCCAGTATAACACCTTAATTTGGCAGGTTTTCACTGTTGGAACACCTTAACCTTTCCAGCTCTTGTTTTGCTGGGAAAATTCCTGCTCAGATCGCCCATACAGCTCAACTAAATTCTCTTGATCTAACCGATAATTTTGTTGATCTAGAACATTATTGATCTAGAACTGCCTATATTCAAGAAAATTATTGACAACCTGATGGAGTTAAGGGAGCTCCATCTCAGCAATGTGAACATCAATTCAGCATTGCCGCAGTCAATTGTGAACCTCACATCCTTAAGATCACTTAAGCTACATGAAACCAATCTGCAAGGAGAATTGCCAATTAAAATTTTCAACTTACCTCATCTTAGAGTACTTGATGTTGGTAATAATTGGCCTCTTCAGTCAAGTATCTAGAGACGTACAATTGGAGCAGCCCTTTCGAAGTCATGGATCTTCATGAAGTCACTTTCAGGGGAAAATTACCCTCCTCCCTTAGCCAATCTCATCATCTGAGGGAATTATCTTTCTCAGGCTGTTTCTTTGATGGGGAAATTCCGAAATGGGTGTGGAACACCACAGAAAAGATCGACTTACGGGATAATCATTTCAGAGGTAACCTCCCTTCTTCAATCAATACAAGCAAAATATCAAGTCCTTACTATCTTAGTCTAGATTTCAATTTCCTCGAGGGAAGAATACCAGCATGGATGTTCACTCTACCCTCCCTGAAAAGTTTAAGCCTCGTCACTAATCAATTCACTAGTCTGCCTAGTGAAGTTGTTTTTAATGACAGTAATGAGTCACAGTTACAAGAATTGGAATTGGAGGGTAACAAATTAGAAGGATCATTCCCACAATGGATTCTGCAATTTGTAAACCTCGAGCATTTCGATATCTCATCCAATAACTTGAGTGGCGTGGTGCAGCTAGATATGTTGACTGGTCTCCACAAACTCCAGTTACTCAGCTTAACAGACAACAAACTCTCAGTGAATACAAGTATCACTGTCACAAACAATAGTTCAACCACTGCCTGGCCTAATCTAACTTTCCTAGGTCTCTCCTCTAGCAACACAGGTGAGTTTCCTGGTTTCCTAAAAGACCAGCTAAAACTTGAATCCTTATACTTGTCCAGAAACAACATTCATGGCAACGTACCCAAGTGGCTTCAAAACTTAGCAGAGATATCAGATATGGATCTTTCACATAACTCGCTTTCTGGAGGTTTAGAACATCTTCCTTGGGAGAGCTTACAGGACATTGACCTCTCCTTTAACACTCTAAAAGGACCACTTCCACTTCCAAAAGCATCTTCCACCATTATTTCATTTTCTGCTTCAGATAATAGCTTCATAGGCCCCATTGATGAATCAATTTGTATCCTGATATACCTTTATCTCCTGGATGTATCAAACAACAGATTGGAAGGAGAAATTCCTCGTTATTTGGGAAACTTTAGCAATTCACTTGTTGTATTGAATTTGGGGTCGAACAGCTTCCATGGCACTCTACCTGCATACTGGGGAACATGTGATGGTGAGTATACATTGAAATATTTAGACTTCAGGGACAATCAATTGCAAGGGTTGTTACCACGAGATATGGCACGTTTTACAAGCCTAGAATTTATTAGTGTTGCAAACAACAAATTTAATGATACATTTCCCTCATGGTTGGATACTCTCCCAAACCTGCAAGTACTTGACTTACATTCTAATAGTTTCCACGGCCATGTCAAAAGCTCAAAGGTAGCACATCCATTTCCCCTGGTCCAGATTCTCGACCTTTCCAGCAATGAATTCAGCGAAAGATTGCCAAAAACATACATAAAAAATTACAACGCAATGATGAATACCAGTGAGCCCTCTGGGGTTTTATGGTAAATGGGAGGTATCGGTTACAAGTACTCAATTGTGCTATCATTCAAAGGTTTGCAGACTAAGTATGAGAAGATCATCACTACCCTTGTGGATTTTGATCTTTCATCCAATGCATTTGAAGGAGAGATTCCCGATTATATTGGTCAGTTGGTCTTGATTCGGGGCCTTAACCTCTCACACAACAGGCTCACAGGGCCAATCCCTCCAACAATCAGCAATCTGAAGTTGCTTGAATCCTTGGACCTTTCTTTCAACATGCTCATCGGGAAAATTCCTCAGGAATCGGTGAGTTTGACATTTATGGGAGTCTTCAATGTATCAATGAACAACCTAGTGGGTCCCATACCTCATGGAAACAATTTTGGCACTTTTCCAGCAGAATCATACATGGGTAATCCTGGATTATGTGGATTACCATTGCCAGAGTGTGGAAAAGATAACAGGCCGAGGTTAGATCCTTCAGTTAGCGAAACAAATGATGATGATATTGAAGATGGAGGCATGTTGTCAGAATGGAAAATCATCCTGATCGGATATGGTTTTGGTACGGTGGTGGGGATGGCTTGTTGGGGATACTATATGTTGTCAGTTGGAAAACCCTTATGGCTAGCTAAATTAGCTCACAGGATGGAGCTGGCAACTATTCAATTTTCTGGGAAGCTATTTGGAAGACGAGCAAGAAGAGCAAGGAATTGAAGAGAACGATGAACAATATATAAAGAGGTGTGACTATTCATAATCATGAGTTTCCAAGCAATTAAATTTACTTTCTAATGCAAGCAGAAGTATCATCATAATTTCAAACTATTTGTTCATTTAAGATTTTTAAAAGTAATTGAAATTTTGATCATTTGCCATTACTGCAGGCTACAATACCTTGCCAAACCGGATAATGAGAGAAGCTATCCCAGGATGCATATACTCTTTTTTTTAATCACTGCAAAAGATCATGTAATAGATTAGCTCAAATGATTATATTTTTATATTGTATACGAAGTACTCTGTATAAAGTAAGGAAAAATAAAAGTCAGAGGGACCTTCTAGCCAGGGATTAACCAAACTTAAAGCTGAGCATGACTTCGTGTAACATTTAAAGCTTGTATAGATGTATGATATAGGGTATACTATCGCTTACGAAGGAAGAAATACCATAAAAACGAGATATTGAAGGAAGAAATACCATGAAGGAAATCTAATCCAAAGTACTAATTTATCTAAAGCTTTTCCTGATTAGAGATGGCAATAGCCATAGAGGGTATACTATTACTTACCGAGTTAGCAAAGATACTTTTAGAAGATATTAAAACGATACACTGGTCTTTAGTATATGCATTTCGGCTGTCAAAATTTGTTCAGAAAAACTATATGCATGAAAAAATTTAGTAATCATGCAAATGCAGAAGGGGATTCTTCTTTTTCAGAAAAAAGGTCTAACTACCAAGAGCATTATCCACATGAATATTGTTTTAACTTTTTAGCTCCAAATCAATTTTGAGAGAAGAAAAAAACAGAGCACATTGAAGTTTATGAAACCATATTAATGGTAATCTGGGCTTTAAGCCTTCAACACAGTGAGCTCATGTGCAATTTACCTTTGGAAAGCCTAACTATGGTTAATCTTTGTAGTGCTGCACAGGTAGCATTGAGTGTGGCAGTAGTCACTTCTTCCTCTAAACCCTTACCATCACAAATGCTTTAACTTTGCTTCTGAAGACTATCTTTCTCACATAATTCTTCTAAGTTCAGTCAACTCTTAAATATCTTGATCTAATACGAAACAATCTTGTTACAACTCTTACAAACAACTTTGAAACTAGTTTAATAAGAACAAACTTTCTACCTAACATAAATTCCCTAATTCTTGGCTTGCCTTTGGGTCAAGGCAAGGCAAAACAACACAAGCCAAGGCAACAAAACCAAGTAATGCATCTTCAAACATGAAAACAAAGGGTGGGTCATGGCATCAATGATATGGTTTTGGGTACCAAATAGGTCTTCCGAGACCCTTAGAGAACCACGTGAAGCGCCTCGATGCATAATCTTATTGGGTCCAAAAATATTTTCTAGAGGCCAAAATTCCAGGTATATAATACACGAAATTAGACCATTTTCAAAGATTTCGACACTTGCTACAGCTGCTCCAACAACCAACTTGGCATCCCGCGGCCTAATAAGAGCTAGGTATCGGGAATCCTTCATTAGATTGTCAATTATATCCAAATTCATTACTTACCATTCCTTCATTAGGTTATCAATCTTGTTCAAAGCAAATTTATTAAAAAAAAAAAAAAAAGTTTAATAAGAACAATTTTTTTATTAGGATAGCCTAACTCTCTGAGCTAAATTCCCTCAGCTTTCGGTTGTGAAAGAAGTAAGCCAGCTAAATCCCGACACTTTGCAATATTTTATTGGTTGGAAACTTTGTCATTTCACTTTATAGTTTATACAATGCACCATCATTTGAACATATCTAACAGACAAACCAGTTACAAGTCTTTTGAATTCTAGTGTGCTCTGCGTAAGAAACAATCTCTTGAACAGATTGATGATCTTAAGAGTAGCAAGTCTACCTACATGGTTATTGATTTCCCCTTGATAAATCAGTCTATAGTTTTAAACCAGTTTCTATGGTTTTCTGACAGTAAAAAAAATGACATAACTAGATTAACAACCATATAAGCAGTAAACTTTAGTATCATAGATAACGAGATCATTAGACTCTGATCAATATCAACCTAAAGCACAATGTCACTCAATCTAACATCAACTTGAGTGAGAACCAATAGCAAGGAATGGTACCACAACAGCACAACCTATGGTACAATCACAAGTTCTCAATCTAAATGATATTGTACATTTTAACATCAATTAGATGTGCTCTTCCAAACCTAAAAATGTTAGTTCAGACTCAAACTACTTCTTTACCCATGGAAAAGGTCCAAATTTGAGTTCCTGAATTCTCGAACATCAATATCAGCAGCAAATTTCCAACAACAAGTACATTAAAACCCAGTGTCCCAAAGTAATGTCCAATGTCTTACACCCTGTTAATCTACAAGGTCTAACCAATAAGTAACCAAACAAAATCATGACTAGTTTCAGAGCTTGTCACTTATTCATATAACACATGACAGAAGTGTTCTGTATTCAAGAACAAAACTGATCTATTCAAGCTCTCATTCATCCCCTTAATATAGTCACTTTTAAACCCTTACAAAATCGTCGAAATCTATCTATTCAAGCTCTAACCATTCCACAAAAACTAGCCACATTACAATCCTTACAAAATCAACGAAATCTATCTATTCAAGTTCCCACACTAAAATCCTTACAAAATCGTCCAAATTAATTTCGCAAGCTGGCTGATGAGAACTATACCTCCAAGCAATTATCTCAACACATTGATTAATTTTTTTATTTTTTTTGGTACTTCAATAATTAATTAAGAAAATCTCTATAACCTAAATTTCCCATATCATTTCGGCAATCTTCAAGCATATCAATTCGTATGTTATTAGCAAACTTATACCTTTTGCAAATTGCAACAATGTCAATGGATTAATATATTGATTAAACCAATTGCAATTAAATAAAAAAAGCATAATGTTAAAAAGTACGGACTATATTTATTTTTTTATTTTTTTAAAGACAAAAGTACGGACTATATAATATGCTAGTACCTTTTACTTCTTAAGTAAATTGAACAAAAATATGAGAAAGATACGAAAATTGAATTTATTATGAGAGATATATTCATATTTACAATATAATTCAATAACAAAAAGCAATTAAAAAGTAAAGGTAAGAGATAATATACCTTTTTCATTTTCATGAAGGGGAGAAAACTGGCAAATTCTGAACAAAGGTCTGCAGTCTGCTGCGCTGATGGAGAAGAATTAAAAGAAGAAGGATATATTAACTTGTTCATCGTTTTTTTTTTTTCTTTGTTTTAACAAAATCGTCTTTTGTTTTTTTTGAAGAAAAGTAAGCCGGAAATAAATTAAATCAAGTTCCGTCAAAGCTAATAAATTTTGGGGAAAGGAGTTCTTAAGAATACATTTCAGGTTACTGTTAGTACCCCATCTCGCAATTAAGTGGGCAACGGTATTACCGCCTCTTTTCACATGAGAAAAAACAAACGGAGGACAGAATTTAGAAAACTTTTTAATGTCATCATACACAATGTAAGTTGGAGAGAAGCCCCTAGATACTTGGTTGATTGTCTTCACCGCTGTCAACAGGTCACTTTGTCTTTTGTTTAGTTTACCATAATTTTGCTTATGTCATCTAAACTTATAAAAGGGAGTAGGAGAGTTGATTTTTATATGAATTTATTAATTCGTTATTTGCACTAATTATCTAAGGAATTGTGTAAACTAGAGCACGATATATTGTATGTAAAAGAAAACAACACAGAGTATATGGTTGGTAGCTATTGGAGTCCCTTGAAAATAATTTAAGAAAAATATTACTAGGATCGGTAGTTATTGTTTTTTTTTTTTTTTTAAATGTATGGAATTTGAGTATTGGAGATTTAGAGGATTGTGGTGAAGTAATGCAAAATTGACTCTACAATAAATTACTTTGATTAATTTATGTAACTTATATTAATAAAACATACTAATAGTCATGTGAGAATTTTTATTAAATTGTCTGAATGTATATTTTCATAGTATTACAGAGTGATTTTTTATACGAATAGTTTTTTAAGTATTTTTTTGTATAGGTATGTTTATACTAAAAAGAATTGTCTAAATGTAACTCCTCCTAAAACTCCCTCAAGAAGGGTTTCTCTCCTTCCGGCAAATGGCCAATGATATAGTCTTAGAGTGCTCGTCACTTCGACTGGAAGAGAACGAGGGTAGTCTAGTAGACCTGGCAACATGGAGGAATTTGTATCATAGAGCCCAAAATTGAACTACTCTTGGTTGGTAAATTATTAATCAATGGGTCTTACGATATTGTGGCCTTAAAACATATAATGGAGATAGTGTGAGCACCTTCACACAATATGAATATCAGAACAATTAATTTGTATGCTTTTCAACTTTTTTTTTTTTTTTTTTTTTTTTTAATAACAGCTGAAAAAACAAAAGCAACTAAATAGAAATAAAGAGAGAAAACAAAGAAGAATGGCAAATACTAGCAGTATAGTGTGCCAAGTTCAATCTTATCCTTAACCACCCTTAAAATGTTGCATCATTTAAACAAAAGACCTAGCCGTCAGTATTTTTCGAATAGTCCAATGCACATCTATTAAAGCACATCCTTCTTGTCATAAAAAAAGAGACAAGAGTTGCAGAGTTTGTATAAGTCATTAGAGATCACAATGTAGTCACCATTTAAGAGTTGAGACATGGGCCATGGCTTACGCATGGAAAGCAGAATCACCTAGTCCAAAATTACCACCCACTTCCACCTTGTCTGTTGTTGGAAACTCGATTATCTAACCAGTCTTATATCTTCGTGTATGCTTGTGCGATAAGGTGAGGATTTTAAAGGGGAGTTTGTGGTGTTGGGGAAACCATTTTTGGTGTTGAAGGAGGTCGTATAAGATGAGCTACTGAAGCAAATAACAAAGGGATAAAACATTCGCCCTTTTGGTTTAGGGTTTGTGAGCTCTTGTTTAACTGCAAATCGATAAAAGTATATTTTTTGGGTGTTTGAGTAGTCCATATTTTGCACACCAACTTTTCACTTTTCCCTTTCATCTTCACTTATATAATACTGTTTGTTTTTTTAACCGAAACTTTTCACTTGCGCGCGTATAGGGGTGAAAGTAATATGGATTAAATCCGCAAACCGAACCAAACCAAACCGAATTAGCAATTGAAGTTTGGGATTTGGATTAAATCCGCAAACCGAATCAAACCGAACCGATTAAATCCGCAAATCGATTTGGATCGGTTTGGGATTTTAAAAAAAAAATTGGATT